CTATCCATGCACCAAAATCCAGCGCTCACTCTTCATTTGAGTGAGGCATTTCATCGAACATCATAGCGGCACCTCATTCCCCTCTAAACACTCAAAACTCTCACACTCACACGTTCGCTGTCTGTGTGAGGAATTTCGTCGAACATCTACGCGTCGCCACCTTCATTTCTATTCGAAGACTATAAAGTAACACTGTCTTTGTGTCTGTGAGAGGCATTTATTTCATCAAACATATGGTCGGCGAAGTGGCACGCCTTGCAGCATCGCCACCGCTACACCTACACCCGTGGTTTTCCCTCCTCCTCTCCGATCCTCTTTTTTCCCCCTTCCACTCCTCCCTCCTCCACTTCACTTCTCTCTCCTCCACCCTCTCCCAACTCTCCCACGCCAAAAACCTCGCCTCCACCTCCTCCAATCCCATCATCCCCCTGAACCTCAAACTCCTCTTAACCTTGTCTGCGAACTCTATCTCCACCTCCTCTTATTCGAAAACTCCAACCCCCTCCACAGCGTCCACCTGTCCTTCTTTCACCTGCAAAACCAAAGAAACAAGTGAGATAACCATCAAAACGAAGATCTCTTGCACTGGAATCAAGTATGAAGTAGTGTATTCGGTTACACCCAGCCTCGTAACCGAATACGAGATGTTGAAGCAATTCTCAAGGCCATGGAACCCAATCCCAGCAGCTGGAACCGAATATGCTCAAACACAAAATATGATCGAACCGAATACAGCCTCACTTCTACATGGAATCGATTATTTGTTACTTGGAATCGAATACTTCAATTTGACATAACTTATTTCAAATAAAAAATAATGAAAAGACTGGCTTAGAATAAGGACGACATTTCTCAATAAATCACCTCAAATTTCAAATTTGAACATTTCAGGACTCGTAAGAAACACGAATTATCTTCCAATTTATTCCTTCGTAATTCTCACAGTAAATCCTCTCTTATATGTGAACACATCCTAAAAGTTTCACACGGTGTGGTAGATTTTTTTATTTACGAAAATAGTATACTGTATTAATATCTACATAAAAAAGGGAGAATTAGTAGTTTTTGTTTTCCTGTATCCAACAGATCATTAACAGTATATTGACTTGTAAGAGGACACAAGGGGCACTTGTGTGGTCATCCACTGCTTGCAATAAATATAGACAGCGGTGATTCATTGTCATTACTTATCTTATTTAGGGCAGACCGAATCTTTTGTTTGTTTTCTGAGTTGTTCCAAATGTCTTGTCATTTTCGTCTCGTTCTGCTTTTATCTGAGGGAGTGTTTATCTCTTTTCTTGTGTAGAAAGTGATAATTTCTAGTTTTTGGAAACAAACGTGAAGAAGTGAATATCTTGATAAAGTTCTGACGTCACTGAAAAGATAGATATAAATGTACTTGATAGAAGAGCTGATAGCGTGGGGAAAGATAAGATCGATAGGTGAGTGTGTGAGGGAAAGAAAAGAAGGATGTCAGGGCCACAGTGCTGTTCAAACCCACCAATCCTTAGCCCAAATGCAGGAAATGGAAATGTGGAGAAAGTGGGTGGTCTTCCCTGCTATCTCACTGCCTCTCCTCACTCTAACCTCGCCGTTCTTATGCTCTCCGATATTTTCGGTATTTCATCTCTCACCATTTCTTATGTGCAATTCACTTTTCCTTATTCCAGACAGATATTGTTTGCTCACAATTCTTCTGATATACTCTTTCTTTCAGCTTTTCTTTGTCACCACTACTAACTTTTACTTTTACTTCAAAGAGTTTATACGTAGAAAATTTACAGGACAAACTAATAAAAACACAAATATCATAGTTATTGGAGTTAATAAATTTATCGTTATCTGACAATCATGTTCATTTAATTGAATGACCTTGTAAAAGATTTGTGTGACTATGAATTTGCTGGGTGATCTGTTATATGTTAATATGCGTACCATTTCTTGCCCAACTGAAAACTGTAATGGTGGTTTATATACTGAATTCATCATGTTTTTCAGACATTGCATTTATCCAAAATTTTATTTTAACTTGGCATGGTTTTCTTTTGCAGGATATGAAGCGCCACTTTTAAGGTATGGTCAATTTTCATGTCTGTTTTCTATGTCCAGTTTGCTACATTTTGTAGTAAATAATATGTAATTTCTCCAGTAATAATACTTGTCTTTGTTGTGAAGGAAACTTGCTGACAAAGTTGCAGCTGCTGGGTATTATGTGGTTGTTCCTGACCTCTTGGAGGGTGACCCCTTTAAGCCTGATGGTTCTCTCGATAACTTACCTGTTTGGTTAAAAGATCATGGACCCGTGGTTAGTTCTTATTATTTTGAGACTGTTTTAATTTGTTGATTGTCTGAAATCAAAAATATAAAATGGTGACATTCTATAATACTTACCTGTTATATAAATTAATAGGAGAAAGGTGCTGAAGGTTCAAAACCCGTAATTGAAGCCTTAAAAAGTAAAGGGTTTTCAGCAATCGCTGGTGTTGGTTTTTGTTGGGGTGGTGAGTATCAACGGTTTTCTATGCATCTCCCCTTCCTTTTTAAGAGAAACTAAGTTCGTAATTGAGCTCACAGAATCCACTAAAATTATTCTGTCTCTCTCTCTCAGCAAAGGTCGCGGTTGAACTTGCCAAATCCAGACTGATCCAAACAGCAGTACTGTTGCATCCAGCATTTCTCTCTGTGGATGACTTCAAGGGTATGGATTTTCAATGTTTAGATTTTTTCTTGAGCAGAAAGCTATTTCATTTTGTAGCCTGCAGAAAGAATTTTTAAGCAGAAAGCTATTTCATTTGACAGAAAGAATATTCTGCAGAAAGCTATTTCTCAGTAAAACCAGAGTGTGTTATTTAATTGTAATTGTAACTGGCTAACTAAAAACTTTGTCTGAAAGATGAGCAATACCTGCAATGACAATGAATTGTTTTAAAAGCCTGCTTTATGTTTACTCTTCACAAACTGGTGATTGATCATTTTTATGTAGAAAAGATTAATTATAAATTGGTCTAACATGCAGCTGTTGATACTCCAATTGCTATACTTGGAGCCGAGAGTGACAAATATTGTCCTCCAGAGCTTGTGAAAGAATTTGAAGAAATCCTAGCTGCTAAACCTGGGGTCAGATGATTTGTTCCTTTACAACATTGTGTGCTCAGTCAAATCAGCTTCATCTTTTTCAACATTTTTGTGCTGCTATATGTTTTGAGGAAAAAGTTTAGCCATGGTAGCAGTATCTGTAAAAGAAATTGTGTATTTGGAAATGAGTCATGAAAATTGTTTTTGTGTTCACAGGTTTCGAGTTTTGTTAAAATATATCCAGGAGTGGAACACGGTTGGGCCGTGAGATACGACACAGAAGATGCAGAAGCTGTGAAAGCCGCAGAAGAGGCCCACAAGGACTTGCTGGATTGGCTTGCTAAACATCTTAAGTGAGAAAATGTTGTTCAGATACTATAATGTCTGTCAGCACGGTCTTTTTCGTTTTTTACTTTTTCTGTTTTTTCCTATTACTTCCTTGATTTCCAACTGATATAAAATTTGTATTTTATCTCAATTATATATATACTATTTCCTCTTTTAATTCCACGCATTTCATTTCCAATTTTATAAGTTTTTTTTTTTAAATTATTTTACCAATTTTAATGGTATTTTTTTTTAATTTAACCATTCTTTTTATTTGATTTTTTTTTAATTTAACTATTTTTAATTAAAATAACTATTTATAATGATAAAAAAATTATATCTAATAAAATTATAAAAATTATTTAAATGAAAAAAATATTAAAAATCAAAAACTTATAAGTAAGGTAAATTAAATTCTATCGTGTTTGTTATATAATTTATTTTATTAATGTCAAATTTGAACGTTGCCTCCCAAAAATATATACGTAATTCTGTTAAATTTATTTTATTAATCCCTAGTTAGTTCCACACGTGATATATACCTTACATGCATGCTATAACGTCATAAAGAAAAATTACTAAAACAATCATTGTAAGCTAGTACTTTATCTTATTTTGTTTATATACCCAAATGCCGGCCACTTGATTGTTACACTTTTATTCTAAAATATAGCTTTTTGTTTAGTTTTTTTTATTGAGAACGCTACATTTCAACTTCCTTACGAATCCTAATTTACAATTATAGTTCTTTTGTTTCCCTTCAATTGATTGATTATGTTATTCAGTTATTTTAACGTTTCTTTAGAATTTTATCACTCTTAAATGAATTATTGCACAGTTAATTTGGTGTTGTCAATTTGATTCCGAGAGGATCATTTTTATATAATCAACTTTAATTTTAAATTCTCTGTTATTTGATCTTAATTTTCTTTTCTATTAGATAAACTGAAAATAATCTTATGAAAAAAAAATCAATCTTCCTTATTAATATTTAATATTTTAAAACGATTTAATGAAAATATACCAATAATTTTAAAATAATTTACAAACATTGTTGTGTATAATTATTTTCTTTTGTTTCTACAGCCATAAACCCTAAAAATCTAATTTAAAGTTGTTTCTTAACCCTAAAAATCTAATTCAAAATTGTTTCTTATTGATTATTAATGATTTCATAGCAGGCTTGGATATTATTATTAGTATATTTTAAATATATTCTATAATTTAGCTAAATATTTTTCAGAGAAAAAGAAAAAGAAATCAACGAATGATTTAATTTTAAAAGAGAAAAAAATATATGTAAAATAATAATATAAAATTAAAATGGAATGAAAGCAAAGAAAACAATATGGAGTGCGTGGAGCATGTCAGTGCACGTAAGCCAGATATATCTGTTGAGTGACGTGGATCCTCTGCCGTCCAAAAATAACTACAGAGGTGTGCGTTTAAATCCTGGACGTTAAACTTTTCACATTTTATTTTTCTATTAATATTTTGTCCGAATAAAAATATATTTCAATGGTTGGGATTGATGCAGCTAAAAAATGAAGCGTAGATATCCTTATCCTTTGGTCACAAGTATAGCTGTTTGTTTCTTGCTCTGTTGACCTTAGCATTCATTGATTCACAAAGAACATAAGTGTTGGAAGACACATAGGATAGTAACATAGTAGGGTTGTTAGCGTTGAGTTTTATAGCGGTGATTGCTTAATACTATCAATGTCAGGACCTCAATGCTGCTCAAACCCACCACTTCTGAACCCTAATGCAGGAGCTGGTCACGTTGAAAAACTCGCTGGTCTCGATTCATATGTAGCTGGTTCATCCAATTCCAATCTTACCGTTATTCTTATCTCCGACGTTTTTGGTAATCTATGATCAAAGTTCTATTTTTTCTCTTTTGTGTTTATTCTCTTCCTTTCTGCATCGTTATTTTTCTGCTTCTGCATCACGAAGCCTTTGATTTTTTGTTAACTTAACGTGCTCGATGTGTTTTTGCAGGGTATGAAGCACCGAATTTAAGGTATGGACTAATTCTTAAATCTCCTGTCTATTTTATATTTATATTCCAGTAGTAGTTTTTCAAGTTACAAGTTATGGCAAGTTATCTTTGTCTGTGGCCAATTTCCAAGTAATGATACAGCAGTTTGCCTCTCATGATATTTGATTTGATTATTCTTATTTCTATTTATTTTTCGATGATTTATGCATTGTGCTTGCTGATGTGTATTTTTTGGAGCAAATTGTTTCCTTAGACCCAATTACTCACATACTTTGTTCTAATTGAACTTGTGATTTTTAAACTGCTATCTCACGACCTTTGGGTGGTATTGATAGAATATTGATTTTCTTAGGGAAATAGTTAAATGAATATCCATTTCAATGTATATGTGTAAATCAAATTAATCAACCAATCACTAATACTGTATATAAGTTAGGTTGTTACATGATTTTTAATCTTTGAGTGATTTATCTGATCATTTGTTTCATTGTGATGCCTACCTTTTTGTAAATTTATTTAATAAGTTATGCCACCAATAGAATTTGGATGTTTCATTCAGCTCTCTTTGTCGAATCTCTCTTTCTCTGATGCAAGATTTAGTATACCCCTAGGAAGTAATACTGTTTGTTTTATGATGTAAAGGAAAATTGCAGACAAGGTTGCAGCTGCTGGGTATTATGTGGTTGTTCCTGATTTCTTCTTTGGTGATCCCTATAATCCTGAGAATGCTGACCGGCCTCTTCCTGTCTGGTTAAAAGATCATGGCACGGTTGGTTCTTATTTACAATAATTAGTGGTTTATGTAGTTGTTCCCTTTCCTGTATCTTGAAACAAATACTTTGTTGTTTCGTTTTATTGAAACTGAATTCTTGGCTGTGTTGAAACTTTGATAACACTAGAGCTCTGATTGTAGAAGATTACCGCTGGATTCAGATGTCATTTTATTTTATTTTTTGATACCGTAGCAGTTGGCCAGTTCTATGTTTCAATGTTAATCTGCTACCTGCATCTGTTGTTTGAATTAGTATCGTGGATCAAATGTATGAAAATCTGTAACTATACATTATCCTCTGATGCTTTCATATTATATTAACAGGACAAAGGATTTGAAGCTGCAAAATCCACAGTTGAAGCTTTGAAAAGTAAAGGTGTTTCGGCTATTGGAGCTGCTGGATTTTGTTGGGGAGGTTTGTAATTCTTTTTCACTTATTTGGAGTGCTTATTGACCCCCTTCCTTTTGTTTGTATACTAATATACTATATAGCACTTTCAGCTTCTCTTAAGCATATATATTATTGGTTTGATTTCAAGTTTTAAACATGATCAAGTTGGTAATCAAACTCAGAGTGTACCCTTTTCTTTAATCCCACAGCTAAAGTCGTGGTGGAACTTGCAAAATCCAGACTAATCCAAGCTGATGTGCTTTTGCATCCATCGTTTGTCTCTGTGGATGACATCAAGGGTATGGATTTCAATATTTAGATTATTTCTTAATTTTCATACTTGTTCATGGAAGATTACTCTGCATCTTGCAATTTATAAGGAAGAATGACAATCAAAATGATGTGGCAGGATATTATCATACCATCAATCTAAGCATGTTTGTGTGAACGGGGTCTTGCATCACTTCCAGAATTGCCACATTTGTCTTCACATTGACTTGCAGTGCATTTATATATTGCTGATGTGATCAAAGTTATTTTCATTGCAAAGTTATGAATAATATGTTCTTGATTAGTGAAACTGTTCATCAACTGTTCAAGGAGTAGTTACCTTGTTCTTTTTCTCTTTCTTTTTCGTAAAATTATATTGGCATATACTGTTATGAACTTATCATAATCATTACTGAATAATTAACTAGCAACCCGGTCTCTAAACTCCACGGTGGAGACAAAGGGGAACCCTCAGGGGCCGTGGACCCCACTTGAAATTTATTAATATTTATAATTGACTGGAAAAAATGAAAAAAAAAAAATATAGCCACACCTTGCTTATGGGTGATTATTTTTGTCTGAAAGGTGATGAAAACCTAAAACAGCCATGGTATTTATATGTACATGTTTTATCATACCAACTAAGTCAGTTGTCATTTCTGGATCATTCAAAATAGTGAGTGAAGAGGGAGCAATGATTAGAGATTTCTTGAAGCTGTGACTGAGACTTTCGTATTCTAACTGCAATTGTTGGTCTTACTTCAGGTTTTGATATTCCAACGGCTATACTAGGAGCTGAGATTGACAAAATGTCTCCTCCAGAGCTTGTGAAACAGTTTGAACAAGTCCTAACTGCTAAACCCGGGGTTGTCTCTTCATTCTTTTTATGGTTATCTACCATAATTTTATATTACCTTAATGTTTTGATAGTAATATTATTTTAATGTCACTATGTTTATTGTTTTTTCCTCTACAATTAAAAGATGAAATCTTCTTCCTTCCTCCTTTTTTTGGCTTTTGATGTGTGCAGAGAAGTTGGAATTGGTTCATCTATCCGAAGCTTAGCTTTATCCAAATTTCATTTGAGCATTCTATTTATAACTCGTTTGTGTTTTCTTTCTTGGAGGTGTACACTTGACCCATGACCGTTCATTCATGTTTAGGTTAATGGATATAGTTTTCAAGTTCAGGAGAAAGTTGTGTGCTTTATATTGAGCTTGTTTAATTCTCTTGCACTCAAAATTGAAAGTGGGATGGGTTAGTTAACACCAATGAGTGAATGTTTATCTGTCGCAGGTTGATTCGTTTGTTAAAATATTTCCTAAAGTCTCTCATGGTTGGACTGTGAGGTACAAAAACGAAGATCCAATAGCTGTGAAGGCTGCAGAGGAGGCCCATCAGGACTTGCTGAACTGGTTTGCTAAACATCTTAAGTGAGAAATATTGGTATGCTAAGAACATGTGTTTTGATAACAAAATAAAACACTGCGGATTATCATCTTTGTTCTGCAGTGTGTAAAGTTACAAGAAAATAAGTAATGAATCTTTGCTTGTTGGAATATGTTTCACATGGTGATTGCAATGTACCTTTCATGCTCAAAGGAAAGTATTACCGTCCTGCTGTTACCTCTATTTATATTTTATGCTAATGAATGTTGCTCTTCAATCAGACGACCAGTAACAAAGAGATTGAAAGAAAATATTTAGGGGATGCGTGTGTGATTATACAAGTTGCGAATGGAATATGATGAGATATTAGTGTTACATTAACATGAGAAAAGATTATAGAAATTCAGGTCATTTACACATCTGCAAAGAAAACAATTGAAAGTATTGATAGGATAAAATATTGTAAGGTTTAGTTTTATGAAGAGGGAAAAAGACCAATGGCATTGGGAGAAATTGTTGAGAGGATCTTTGAAAATGTTATTTTTAACCAAGTTGAATGGAGTCATGTGATTATGTACCTTATCGTACCTTGTAAAGTTTGGCATGCATCACACATTGTAGCAAAATTAAAAGGGGAGACTTTTTTTCCTTGTGAGTAACCTTAACGCTTTACAAAGTAATATCGCAATTGTTTTTATCACATCCAATAATTTTACATTATTTAAAAGTTGAGATTTAAAGTGTTTTAAATATTTTTTCTTCTTTTTATATTTTGAAACATCTTTTTAAGAATAAAATTGTATTAAGTTTTAGTTTCAATTTTTTTTTCAAATGTATAGTAATTGATTTTAACAATATCACGACTAAATCACATTAATTTTGTTTATAAGAGGATAAAAATGAAGAAAATAAAACTAAATTGACAATTTTGTTTTTCACATTAGCTTCTTAATATATTTTTGGTAGGTAGTTTTTAAGTGTCATGTATTGTCTGGAATATCTGTAAATGTTACATCCCGTCATTAACTAAGAAATTAAAATAATTTTAAAACTTTTACCTTCAACTTCCAATACATATGGGGTTATGGGGTGTTTCCCTTTTAACTAGATGTATTAATAAAAAATTACTCCCGTCAAAAAAGTTAGATGTTGTCTTCATTAAAACAGCTTTGCTTTAAATGAATACAAAAAATTATGAGAAATGAGAGATAATTTATAAAAGACATGCAATTTCTTAAAAAAAGAAATAAATATCTAAATTAATATTGAAGAAATAAATTTCCAATCATCAATTTTGTTATCCTATAGTTTGTATATATTTCTACGTATAAGTTAGAATAGGATCATGTAGGGCACGAGATTTTTCAACGAGCTTCTAGTTTTTTTTTTTAATTAGATGAAATAGTTGAAAAGTTTGTGTGATTTTTTTTTAGTAGTGTTTGATAACCAATTTAGTTTCAACAATGTGTAACATTATTTTCTGAAAAGTAGCGATTTTTAAAACGTTTGCTTTAAGCTTTTTATATTTATTTCTTTGAATATTATTAAGTTTCTCTCTTTTTCATTTTTTTTATCACGCACTCCTAAGACAAGACATGACTTTATTATTTTTAATGTCTTTTGTATAAGATCGTTTCCATTTTATTTTGATAAATAAAATATTTACAAAAATAGAAAATCAATTATCACTGTAAATATTATCAATGTTATTATTTTTATTTTGAATTTGTAAAATCCTATTTAGTAACTTAAACTAATAAAATAAAACATTTATAATAATATTCAAAATGGATAATTTAATATATGAAGTATATTGATATAATCTTTCAAAAATAAGACTATATAAATATATATATATATATATATATATATATATATAAAAACTTTATACCAAAACACTAACCTCACATAAGTAGGATGGTCATTACAAAAGACAAAAAAACAAAAACAAAGAAAATATACTACATGAAATATACCCATCGAAGTTAATGGTCATTCATGGGTAATTATCAGGTATTAATAAATCAAATTACCTTACGCTCTACAAATATACCGTATTAATTATTGATTATTGGGTTTTTTATTCCCTAAAATTATAGTGCCCTACAATGGACTTGAGTGTCACAGACTCTATAAATAATACCACTGATGTCAGGTACAATCATCTTCTTCTATTCTAATAAAATATAGACCTCTTTATGAAACATATCTGACTTGAGCGTTAGAGTGTTTTCTGCAGGTCAACCATCAATGGGGAAGATTATTTGAAGAGTTGGTCGATCGGAGCATAACAACGAAGGACGACCGACCCCAGACAAATGTAACCGAAACAGAAAACAACAAGCACTATAAAGGGTAAGCTAAAGAGAGATTGTTATATGGTAATAGAGTTAACCATTCATGCAAATCATTCATACAATTAATCATATAAAAAATAACGACTTAAACAAGAATCGATTATTTGGATACAAACATTAATATTGAATCTTTGAGGGTTTTGCACTTGTGGTGACCTATGTTGCTCTATAGAGTCATTGTTAATGATTTATACATACAACCATCACAATAATGATTAAGACATACCGTTATTACCACTGATTATTGAATTGATAGAAAAGGAATAAAAAAACTAACTTACGTGAAAAAAGAAACTGATTGATCCAACTTGAAGAGCTAGTTGCGATACTCTCTCACAGGTTTCAAATCTTCAAACATATGAATAGAGAAAGATAATTCCCAAAAAAAAATTAGAGAACTTTAAAAACAGTTATTTTTAAATAGATAGTGTGTTTTAAAATAATGAAACTCAATTATAACAAAATTATTTATACTAAAATATTTTAATATTAAAATAATTGAGTTTCACTATTTTTAAATTACTATCAATCTTAAAATATCATTTTCTAGGTCTTCACAAAATTATAATATTTTAAAATCATTAATAATTAAGAATAACACTATATTATAATATAACTTAGTTATAATAAATATTAAATTATACATGTAATTTGTATATTTAAAATATTTATTCATTACAAATTCAAGTGTAACATATTTGATATATTTAGAAGTATTTATTTATATTATCTTAATTATATAAAACAAACAGTTTAAGTACTAGTTAATAAAGTGATTACCTCGTATAAGATTTTGAATTAGATTTTGATAATAAAATGGAAAGAATTATACAATAGTGTCCTTTTATTAGTTTTCATAATGGTTTATTAAAACATTCAATAAAAATAAATCAATTTAATATCTAAAAGTATTATGATTTTATTTATTTAATAAGATAATTAATAAAAATATAATAAGAGGATTAAAAACGATAACAAAAGTGCATTAAAAACCCTGTGGCTTAAAGTTAACAAAATTCAGATTAATTAACTCAAAATCATTAAATTTAATTATAATGAATCTAGAGATTAACTTCAATCACATTTGAAAGTTAAAGCTAATTTTGTTTTCTATATGCTGGAAAAAAAATTTGTTTCGTTTTCTATCTTTCAAAAATATCTTATCTGAGCTTAATACGATAATTATGTATGTATATATATATATATATATATATAAACTGGTAGTATAAGTTTAACACTAAATATAATTTTAATATACACTGTTACTATATTTAAATATATTTTAGACTTAGATTATTTGTTTTCCACATGTTTATGAAAATAAAAAATAATGATTTTAAAATATGATACTTGATTATTTTATTATTTAAAAAGTTAAATTATAAATAGAACTTTTAAGTTTTATTTCATAAAGATTACTGTCTCTATAAAATATTTTCTAAATCCTTTATTTACTATTTTTTTTTTAATTTGACCATATACTAATTTTATGTAAATTCGTTAGACATTGTGAACGAAAATTACATTGTCATTGTAGTGAGCTTAGATGGTGTTAATCACTAGACAAATGTAACAGGACGAGTTTGGTAAAACCAAATACGACTGGTGTTTATCTGTATACATTTATATTGTAACATCGTTCAAGAGTTAGAACTTTATAATTATATTTTAAAAAATGAGTGTGATCTTATATGATGATTAAATTAGTAGTATAATATTTATTAATTAGGATTGGTACAACAAGTTTTATAAACGTGTGATTTTCATATCTGAAAATGTTTATTATGCATTTAAAAGAAAAAAAAAATACGAAATATGTAATTAAAATTTTATACTCGTAAAATTATAAGAACTAAAAACGAATTAAAATATATATTTTATTAAATTTAAAAGTAAACTGAAACCTCGAGTGTAGGTGTCGGTGAAGTTAGGTAACATAACTCGACCTATGCTATTAACACTTTCTTCTTTTAATAACCCACCTTTTTGTTTTTGTTTCAACATAATATTAATGAAAGAAAGTGGAGAATGATAACATTTAGTATAAATTAGTTTTCATTTAAAACTAATTTCTTTCCAAATATACAAATTTTATAAAAAAAAATAATGAAAACTTAAACTAAACAAAAAAATACATTATATTTATAAGCCACTTTTATTTATATAATAAAACTTATATAATGATATTTTTTAAAATTATTTGTAGTTATTAACTTGTTATATCAACTAATTATATTAAATAATTTTAATCTAATAAATTAATTTATTAATTTGAAACTTATAAATTAAAGTTTTATCAACTAACTCATTAACATTAATTTATTAATTATTTTTAAAAGACAGTTTATGACAATTTATAAACTGTCTTATGTGTTTGTATATCAATCCGTAAACACTAGTTTTGACAATTCTTATAGGTTTACAAAAATCCACAAATACCCACACACGATATCTATAAATATTTTAAAAATATATTTTGTTTTATTTTCATCGATAAAAAAACATAAGTACATAACATAAATATAAATATCATATTTATTTATTTAATTTTAATAAACATAATTGAATAAATTATTGTGAAAAAAAAAGTAAATTACATTAAGTAAAACAAAACTATAAAACTTTGAATTGATATATATCTTCTTTACCTTTCTGAGATTAAACACTTTAATTCTTGAGAATCCAGTAAAAAAACAAATTTATTAAAAATATATTATTAATTATTAATATGAAATTTGAATTAAAAAATAACTTTAATGAACTTACTATAAAATATATGTGCAATGTAGTGAGCACCCAAACACGAGTATTAAGGAATTGCC